TGTGTGTGTAGCTGCTGAGCTGAAGCGCCGGTGGAGGCCATCGCTAATGACCCCATGCGTGGCGCCAACACCTGTGGGAACGGCCAACCTCAAAAGCGCTGCAGAGGATCATGGGACAGGAACCGCCATGCCTCAAAGAGACTCCAGAAACCATGGCATTAACTCACAGCACTGCCAATTAGTGCTGTTGGCCTCTATGGGTTTTGCCTTTTGCAGACCAAGGATGTGTAAAATTGTATTTGCAACAGGGCTTAACAAGGCTTCTGTTAGCTTGTTAAGGTTGTGAGTCGAGAGGAGGTGGCTGTTCAGCACATCACAATGAGGAACACAATCTTTAACAAAACCATGGAAAAGGCATTTAAGACTCTTGGTGTAGTCCTCAGTGGCTGAGCTATTGATATTTGAGCTCATCTAAAGCTCAACGTGTATCCTCATGACTCCCGTAACAAGTCGACTTGTTGCTTGTTAAAGGCATAGTTTGGCATTTGGGGAAATACATTTATTAGTTTGTTATCGGATTCCTCTTGACCTTGTGCTTATTTGCAGCACTTACATGGCAAATGCTTTTTATTTAGAAGTGCATTTATTTTGAGCTGCCGCTGAAAGAGTCCTTAACAGAATGAAAAATGTTGATAAATGTGCTTATTTGTTTTCTAGCAAAGCGTTGTGTGGGAATATTAACAGCATCCGCACAGTCTGTACAGTAAGCACAGAGAGCCAGAGTCAGGGTAATTGTTAGCTCATACTAATTAACACATTGAATTCGCTGTTATTACTTAAATGTTACGCCAGCCAGCCACAGCATTATGTAGATCCAAAACAGCTCAGCCTTATCATCATGTACTGGGAAGCAGCAGATCCAATGATGTCTGTCATTTGCAGGTCTGTGGACATCAGATGCTGACCGATGCTCAGTCACATGGAGATTTGGAGAACTTAAAGACCACCCAGCTGCCATTTCCTTTCTTCAGCACATGTGCACCCAGCCATCCATATGATGTGAAAGAATCATAGACTGTATAAAAGATGGACGTAGCAACC